GCTGCTGCCTCAGCTGGGGCTGCCCACAGTGCTGCTCGCTCAGGGCAGCAGCTGGCAGAATTGGAGCTTCACCAGCAAATCGCTGCTGCTCATCTGCAGCTCGAATGCCGAGCAGGAGCAGAATCGCCGCACTTTACTCAAGCTGCAGCAGGCACGACGATTGGTCTATCTGGAGGCAGGGAAGCAACCGACGGAGGTCTGTGAGGCCTACTTCGAGCGGGAGCAGGTTAATGTGGCCATGCTGGATGCAGAGGGTAAACTGTATAGCTGTCGCTGCTTTCAGCAGGAGAATTATATACAGCTGGCTCTCAACTCAATGACAGAGACCACAGCCTTGGTGAAGTTAAACTACGATTTCGACAAAGAATCAGATTCCAACTCCAATCCCCACTACGATTCAATATATGTGGAGCAATTTGCCAACATGCGCGGCTTGCCCATCAGAACTGAGCCGGATCAAGAAGGTCCACGTGCTTTTGTCTATCATAATCCCAGCACTGGAGAGTATGAGATAAAAGGGTTCCTTTCGAATCTGATCACATCGTTTGCAGAGCGAGTGAATGCGACGGTGAAGTTACGCGACGACATTGGCCTAGGCCAGAAAATGCACTTCAATAATATCATGCAGCTCGTTAAACAGAATCAGCTTGACATCGCGGTCGCGCTTGCCACCACCATGGAATTTGGCAGACAAGACTATCTCACATATCGCTACATGCACAGCTCGTATTGCTTTATGATTCCAGTGCCAGCTCAACTGGACTACAAGGATATCTACATAGCTATCATGCATCCTCTGGTAGCCTGCGTGCTGATTGTCTTATTTGTGATCTTCTCGCTGCTGTACATCTATAGCCAGGACTTGAACTGGCGCAGGTTCAGCCTCATCGATATGCTGCTCAACGACCGCTGTCTGCGCGGTCTGCTGGGCCACGCCTTTCCGATGCCCGCCCAGCCTAGTCGGTATCTAAAGGGGATTTGTATGCTGCTCTGCTTCGCTAGTATCATGACGACGACCATGTACGAGTCCTACTTACAGTCGTACTTTATTCATCCCCCGCACGAGATGATGCTGCGCAGCTACGAGGATATTCTCAACTCTCGCTACAAAATTGCAGTGCAGCGCGAAACAGCGCTTCACTGGGTGTTTGAAAAGTTCAACCTGACCACCACCAACGCCCATCACGTCGTCCTCTTCGACGATTGGCAGGAGTTCATTCGAATACGGGAAGCGTTCAATGACAGCTTCATTTATCCAGTCACCGATCTACGTTGGTTCTCCCTGGAAGAGCAGCAAAAGTATTTCAGGGGACCCGTTTTTTACTTCTCCGAGGATGTTTGCATCAAACGCTTCCTGCTACTAGCGCTACCCGTGCGTCTCCATCTACCCTATCGCCAGCTCTTCGAACGGCATATTCTGGCCATGCAAGAGTTTGGCATTTTGCAGTTCTGGATGGCCAACAGCTTCAATGAGATGGCTCGCTTAAAAGTAGCATCGCGGAAGGATTATAGCCATCCCGAGGAACCAGAGGGCCAATTGTATATCACAGATCTGACCCACATTCTTATATTCTACTTAGCGGCTCAGCTATTGGCTTGCATTTGCTTTGTCCTCGAGCTGTGCTGGGCGAGGATTTTTGGTATTAAATAATGCAATTTATAAAAGCTGATCAATTTCACCTTCAAATCTTTCTTTATACTCTTTAGCAGAGTAATAAAATGCTTAAATTTGTAAAACCGAGTATTTAAATAAATAAATTATGGCTCAGTTTGTAAAGCGATTTCTTGCTGCATTTAAGAGCTAAGGACTTGAAATTTATTGTAGCAAAACTGACATGAACAGAAAATCATTTACAAGCTATGTTAATAGCCGTGTTAACTGCCTGCAAAACATGCACGCCGCATGCCATGAGGCGCCACAAAAGCTTGCCACAATGCGAGCCTGGCCACAGTAACGTGATGGCCGCAGGACTCGCTGTCATGCAGTTATATTTCGTCTTTATTTTACTGGGCTCTCTATACCGTTGGCTGCACTGCATCGAGTTGGATGACTTTCGAGAGCAAGATGAGCACTCTCGCTTGTTGCTGTACTTAATAAGACGCATTCGCCTAGAGCGAGACTATGATACCATTGTGGTCTATGGGAGTGAGCCGTGTGTGTTTCATGAGCTGCTGCCTCAGCTGGGGCTGCCCACAGTGCTGCTCGCTCAGGGCAGCAGCTGGGAGGATTGGAGTTTCAGCAGTGAGTCGCTGCTGCTCATCTGCAACTCAAATGCCGAGCAGGAGCAGAATCCGCACACTTTACTCAAGCTGCAGCAGGCACGGCGATTGGTCTATTTGGAGCCGGAGAAGCAACCGACGGAAGTCTGTGAGGCGTACTTCGAGCGGGAGCAGGTTAATGTGGCCATGGTGGATGCAGTGGGTAATCTGTATAGCTGTCGCTGCTTTCAGCAGGAGAATTATATTCAGCTGACTCTCAACATAAGTCACAGCTACAAAACAGAGTCCACAGCCCTGGTGAACTTAAATGCCGACAAAGACTCCGAGGCCAACTCCAACAACGAATTAATTTACGTGGAGCAATTTGCCAACATGCGCGGCTCTCCCATTAGAAGCGAGCCTGATCAGATCCGCCCTCGTGGCATCCTGTATCGCGATCCGGGAACAGGCAAGTATAAGATGATGGGCACCGCAGCCAACTTGATCAATACGTTCGTGGAGCGTGTGAATGCGACGTTGAAGCTACGCGATGACATTGGCGAGGGCAAGAAGCTTCACTTCAACAACATTATTCAAAGGGTGATGCTCAGTCAGCTGGATATCGCTGCCACGCTGTCCACCACGCTGAATGCAGAGAGCTTTGACTATCTAAGCTATCCGTATATGCACAGCTCGTTCTGCTTTATGATACCCTTGCCGCAGGCCCTGGAGTACGAGGAGATCTTCACAATCATAATGCAGCCTCTGGTGGCAGGCGTGATAGTCGTTCTGCTGCTGATCTTTTCTCTCCTTTATATCTATGGCCAGGACTTGAACTGGCGCAGGTTCAGCCTCATCGATATGCTGCTCAACGATCGCTGCCTGCGCGGTCTGCTGGGACAATGCTTCCCGATGCCCGCCCGGACTAGTCGCTATCTAAAAGGCATTTGCTTGCTCATCTGCTTTACGAGTCTCATCATCACCACCATGTACGAGTCCTATTTACAGGCCTACTTCACGAGTCCGCCACATGAGCAGATGCTGCGCAGCTTCGAGGATGTTCTGAGATCTCGTTACAAAATTGCCGTGGAGCGCGGAGACGCAAGCCATTGGCTCTTGCAGAACTTAAGCCTGACCACAACCAATGCACGTCGCGCTCACCTTCTGGATGATTGGAAAGAGTTTTTTCGCATACGTGATTCATTTAATGCCAGCTTCGTTTATCCAGTCATGGAGCTGCGCTGGCTGTCATTACAAGAGCAGCAAAATTATTTCCGGAAGCCCGTCTTCTACTACTCCCACGATATTTGCTTGCAGCACTTCCTGCTGCTATCCCTGCCCCTTCGTCGCCATCTGCCCTATCGCCAGCTCTTCGACCGGCACATTCTGGCCATGCAAGAGTTTGGAATTTCGCAGTTCTGGATGGCGAACAGCTTCAATGAGATGGTTCGCTTAAAAGTGGCTTCACGGAAGGATTACAGCCATCCAAAGCAGCCGGAGGACCGAGTTTATTTAAGAGATCTAACCCAGATTTTTATATTCTACTTAGCAGCTCATTAGTTGCCTGTATTTGCTTTGCTCTCGAGCTGTGCTGGTCGAGGTTTTGTCGTATTCAACAATAATAATTTATGAGAAAACAAATCTTTTAGCAAAGGAATAAAGTGCTTACATAAATTATATCTCAGCTTGAAAACCGATTACAAATCGGCCTTAAATGAGTTGCAAATCAGATTTCGCTCAAGCCTCATATAATTAGAGATGATTTCAAGAGCTTTAGCTCTTTTTAAGCTAGTAATTTAAGCTAATAAATAGAGCATGGCTGTAGCAATTATTTTGCATGCGTTTGGCAAAGAAATGCGAATATAAAATGGCCCTGAGCTGATCATGAGTGGGCCATAATGACAGGAGCAGCCAACAAATCATATGCTAGCCATGTTAATAGCTCTGCTAACTGACTGAAAAAGATGCATGCCGCATATCACGAGGCGCCACAATGCGAGCCTGGGCCACAGTAACGTGATGGCCGCAGGACTCGCTGTCATGCAGTTATACTTCCTCTTTATTTTACTGGGCTCTCTATGCCATTGGCTGCACCGCATCCAGTTGAATGACTTACTAGATAAAGATGAGTATTCTGGTTTGCTGCTGAGCTTCTGCCTCAACTGCAGCAGTGGCAAAACTATCCAAACTTAATCAAAGCTGCTTTAAATATGAATTTTAAAGCCCTTTGTATTAGATAATATCCAAGAGGCAATCTAAACAAATTTGGTAAGACAAATTTGAAGCAGCTTTGTATAACTTTTTTATAATTTATTTACATATTTAACTTAACCATGCTCGAAGCAGAAATATATTTTTATTTATATATTTTTAATACCCTATATAAATAGTTTTGCTATATGACTAATTAGTTTGTCGTTGGCTTTTAATGAGCTGTGTTGTAATGCCCTGAACATGCCCGGAATCAGTTGACAATTACTTAATTGTGCATTTAGCCGTGTTAACAGGGCGTTAGACATGCATGCAACAACCATGTCCAGGGCTGCCACAAAAATGTGCCACGTAGCAGGAGTCATTCTCAGTTGCCTGAAGGCCGCAGGACTCGTTGACCTGCAGCTCTACACCATTTTGGCCTTTCTAGACTCTCATAATCCGTTATATATTATCCGTTATATATTTATATATCGCCTTCGCTCCAGTCAACTAATTGCCTTGTCATCGCACATTCGCAGGGCAATTCCCATTGCGTAAGCAGAAGAAAAAAACTTGTAAAAATTGTAAAAAAAAAAAATCTAACAATCACTTTTTGGTGGAGCCAAGCGCTGAACTCTAAACCCTATTAACATAGCAAAGTCGCAACGCCTCCGCCTTCGCCTCATAAACGCTGGCGGATATAACTATATATATCTCCACATATCTATCTATATAGACACCATATAGCCACGCATTTCCATTTCCATTTAAATGACAAACGCAGAGGTTGCCAACGTCCGCATAAAGTTGTTCGTTGTTCGTTGTTTTATCTAAATCACATTTTTGTATGCACCTTTTTTATTTATTGATTAAAATCAATATATGCGATTTTAAAAGCTATTCAAATTGTCTTTTTATCTCTGAATCAATTTGCAGGGCGATTGTGAAAAATCCAAAAATGTTTTGGGTAACACGCATTCCGCGCGGCGTGGATGATGATGATGACATGATCCCCACGTTATGGCTAACGGAGAGCCGGAGTCTGCGTCACATCTGACGCTGAGAGAGCTGCCAATCATAGCTGCAAGACCGTTGATAGCTATTGCAGCAATCCGCATGATTCGTCCGTCCGGCTCTGGCCATAAATGCTAAACAATGCGGGTGTCTATGCCGCGATTATGCAAAACTGAACTACCTAACGCACTAATAGAGCCGACAACCGTATAAAATTAAAGCCAAAAAAAAAAAATATCCAAAAATTAAACTATAAAAACTATCAAGCATATCAGCGACTTAGTCACATCATTTGAATTTTATTCGGATTTTTGGCGCCACTGCGCTATGAAAATGCGGACAGAAGGGTATACCCAGGGTATGAGGGCATGACTGACTTGGCAAAGTATATTCATACTCGATTAGATTCTGAAGACGAATTGATTAAGTCAATTCTGTCTTTGTCTGTCTTTCTATCAGCCCTTCTGTTGATCTGTCCAGCATATAGAACCATATTCTATTTTGCATTGCAATAAATATATCAGCTCTATAAAGATAGGCTGCCAGTCCAACAAGCAACAAAGACAAAGCTAATGGAATATCAACTCTAACGAAAATTTCAGGGCATATCGTAGTCGAGTATACCCTACACTATGGCTTTGCTTATCTTAAATTTTCCCCTTTGCTTTGTCGCGTGCTAAGCTTTGAGGATTTGGCCTTGGTAATACTCAGTGGGTGATATTGTTACCGATCTCTAGAGATACACAATGGCTGCGCTTTTTCGATCAGCTATTGATTATGCACATTCGCTTTGTGTAGTGGCAGCTGCCCGCGGGTGTTTCTAATATCTGTAAACTATCAAATCTTATGCAATGCTCGTTTTTTATTACACTCAGCTCAAGGAAATCCGAAAAATGTAATTTGCCAAATTGCATATGTGTAAAACGTTTGCCAAGCGGTTTACGAATGTTTCCATAAAGTGGTTTCAAGTAATGACAGTATCTCTCCCGACGACTATGGGAGTTGCATTAATTGGAGCGGAACTCAGTGGAGATGATTGGGATTTGGGAAACGCAGCTTTAAAGAAAGATTAAAAGCAATTTTGATTGGTTTTGAGAGTACTTAAGCTGATTCAAAAGTAGACTTTAGCTGATCTTATGGGTAAAAATTTACATTCCCTAGCAAAGACATCAATCAGACTCAGCTAGACTCGGACCATGGGCCATGTTTATATTATAAGATTCCAAAAGAAGAGTAGTACAGAGCATAGAGTCTAGAGAAACTGAAAGACTATGTAAAGTATTTTTTTAAACTATCTTAAAGGCCAAATCTTTAACAAATCCAAATTCCCCGATGAAAAGTCCACCTGAATATAATAATATAATCCACAGATTATGATAATCAATATGTATAATATATAGGCGCCCATACTTCACTTCAATAGCATTGACAGCTAACAACGGGAAATAATAGGCTAAACTGAAAATATGCCCTTCATGTGCAGAAGACTCACAATATATAAATCTCTTGCTTTTCAAGATTGAACAATGATCAAAAGTCAACTCTGTACTCAATGGCTTTGCTCAACATATAGAAATTGCCAATAAATTATTGATTCACTGCTCTATTATGGCCAATTTTGTTGCAGTCGTCTTTCCCAGGAGTCGCTGCTGCCTGCACTGCAGTGCAATTCCCATAGCCAATTGATAAAGTATTTCCACACAACGCAGCTCCTAGCGAACTCATCTCCTTTTGTATGTCCAATCATAATGAAAAGCAATCATCGCAGTTGCTCAATCTTTTGACATTTTGTAGAGCAGCAGATAAAAGAAGCGTAACAAAATGTGAAACAAGGCAAAAGACAAAAACAAAAAACAACAAAAATTGAAGAAAAGCAAAAGTAAGGTAAAGTAAATTGTGGTTAACAATTTTTCAATTGCAATCGCATTTCCAATTCTATTATTAACCGTTGGAGCTGTTGATGGATGGCCAAGATGTTTGCTCGGATGTCTGGATGAAGACGTAGCTGCCTGATAATGGGGCCATAGAAATGGACCAGGCCAAGACGGCCCAGACCGAAGCGTAACCGAACTCAGGGTCATTTAGATCAAATGGGCATTTGCGGCTTATGTCATTATGGTCAGAGCTCGAACAAAACCTAAACTCTAAGCTATTTGTATGTCTTTCTTTGTTCGGCTTTTAATGAGGCCTCGCTCTAAGAGTCAATAATAAACATACTTACAAATCCAATAAGATATGTGCGCTCAATTAACGAAGTAATATGCCTTGATAAAGCTTTAAAATAAATCTCTTTGTATGCTTCATAAAACTTGACTCGAAGCGACCTTTAGTTATTAATAAAAAAATTAATTGAGATATGCTAAAATAAACATAATTTAGTTGCTTCAGCTTGGGCAATTGTAGGTGTTAATATTTTTGGCAAACAAATGCAAAAAGAAACTAAATAAAAAACTAAATCCAATTGTAATTTGCTTCAATGTTACATTTTAACGGCTAGTTAAGATTTTGAGGTCGGAAACACAGACGAAACAGAGTGAAAAAAAAATTAAAAACAAAAGAAAAAGAAAACGAGAAAGAAAAACTTTTTGCCAAACGTTGTGTGACTGGCTAAGTAATTTATTTCCTTCCTAGTTTTATTTGTTTTTGTTTTCTGTTTTTTTTTTTGTCGCTTTAAGCTATTAAAGAGCGTTAGTGCAGATGTGCAAAACAAGCCACTTGCACCTTACACCATCTAACAGAGAGATGGCACAGATGGATTCCCACAATGTTGCGATCGCCGCCCCGACCTCCTGCCACCTCCAGCTAACATTAAAAACTTCCAATTACTCACCAACGGCGGCCCCCGCAGCGACATCTTTGCGTATACGTAACATATTAATTATGCCAAACGAAGCAGCAACAACAGCAACAGCAGCAACAACAACAACAAAAACAACAAAATTCGAGAAGAGAAAAATGTTCGAAAATAACTTTGCTTAATTAGCAATATTGATAATTATAAAAGCTAAATATAATATTAATATGTTGACCTCATTTCAATTTAAAATAAATGAAAGTTCAAGCTTGAATATAATAAATATAATACTTCAATTATATGCTGCAACAAGCAGCAACAAAGTGTCATCGCGTGTTAAGAAACCAGCAGAGAAGAGCAACAGACATTTTTTATTTTGTAGGAAACTCAGTTTGTTTTCACATTTAACAATAGCTGAGCATGCAATTTGTGCATTAAATGATACAACAAGCGTGTCAAGTGAGACATTTTTGGAGTGTGAATATCAAGATCTTTGGTTGCCTTTCGCTTTTACAACCAAATGCACTTTGACACTCACTTTTTGGACAACTAACAGTTTTTGGTCAAACCATGAAATAATAGTCATATTAGTCTATGTAAAATATAAAATATAAATATATATTTTTAACACATATAATTTTAATTTAAGAAAACAGCTTTACACAAAAAGTTCAATTGGTTTTCTTACATTCAAATCTTGGCGCACTATTACCGCTTAAGCAACGCAATTTTGCGTGTTTTACAGCACACAAGTTTAATGCAGTGCTGCCAGATACCATAAAATATGTGCTGCTGCGGTCACGACAAGCAGTCACAGTTCACAATATTGTCATCTAGTCTAACAAATTAATGTTAAAAACATTCGGACCAATGATTTCATTAATACAATAAATCAATTTTAACTAACTTAGTTTATTCACACACTTGTTTCACTTAAAGCTTGCTGTAAATAGTTCGTTAAACCGCAAGTGTTTTCGAATGCTGAACGCATCCAAAACACTTGCTAACAGGTGGCAACGCCGCATCACCTGCTAGCCCGTTCGTCAGTGTTTTTATATTTTCGCGAAGCAATATTTAATTAAAAATCAAGTACAAAACATATTAAAAGAATGCAGTAGTCAATTTAAAATAAGTGTAATAAATGATTGTCACTAAATATGTGTAGCTGCATAGAAAGCACAAAACTGTGCATAAAGCAACAGAAGAAGAAGCAACAGTTAAGCCATATACACATATACAAACATACAATATAAAACCAAAAGCACAAACAACACACACACACACATACATAGTAAGGTGCGAGCTATGGGCGGCGCGCAGCGGACGGACAGCATAAGCGACCGCAGCGACTAGAATTAACGTTTAGTCTAGTTTAAGCCACAGACGCCACATCACATAGCAGCACGCTGCAAGCTGCTTGCACGGAAAAAAATAATACGAATGAAATTAAAATCTATATGTAGGTAAAATAATCTAAAAATAAACTTATACGTAAGCAACGGGTGCGGAAGAAACGGCAACAACATATTCATGTATGTAAATTAATAAAAAAATATTTGCCAGCTTAAATATGTATGTATATTTAAATATATGTGTGTGTGTGTTTGTATTTTGTCAGCGGGCTGCGCAACAAATGAAGCGAAAACCCAACAGCACCAGCAGTCGTAGCAGTCTTTGGGCCACGTCTACGCTGCAACGTTGTAATTGAAAGTGAACCGTGCTACCTCAACAAGCAGAACAGCAACAGGAACACCTACACACGCACACACGTGCGCATACCCATTGACTCTCACACACAAACACAGAAGCAACATGCTGCCTCGGTTTCGTTCCTTCTATGGCAAAATAATTATATTTGTGCTTGTCGCGCTATGCTTTATACTCTATCTGAAAGTTCAACCAGCCAGCGAGGATTTCCCGTTGCCCGTGAGAGCAAGACAGAGGCCAGCTCAGCTGGCGCGCGTGCGGCCGAGAGCGCATGAGATGTATCCAGAGAATGAGCAGGAGAATGAAATAAGACCCGTTACAGTGTCGCCGTACGAGCAAAGCATACAGTTGGATCTGCAGAAGCAGGATAGAACGTTGGGCAACAAAGGTGTGGCCGTGCACCTGACCGGCGCTGCGAAGGCGCGTGGCGAGAGGATCTACAAGAAGATCGCACTGAACGAGGAGCTGAGCGAGCAGCTCTCCTACAATCGCACCGTGGGCGATCATCGCAATCCGCTGTGCCTAAATCAGAAATATGATGACCCCAGCACTCTGCCCACTGCCAGTGTCGTCATTATATTCTACAATGAGCCATACTCCGTGCTGGTGCGGACGGTGCACAGCACGCTGAACACGTGCAACGAGAAGTCGCTGAAGGAGATCATCCTGGTGGACGATGGCAGCGACAATGCGGAGCTGGGCGGCAAACTGGATTACTATGTGCGCACACGATTTCCCCCCGGCAAGGTGACAATTCTGCGCCTCAAGAATCGGTAAGTGAAAGGGCATGATGTGGTGACAAACGGCGCTAAAGAGGGTAATGAAGCTATTGGAGGTAATTGGGTAAAGGGTACAGCGGCAATCATCAATCTCTTGGCACACTTTGGCTGTCTCTCCCTCTCTCTCTCTGTCTCTCTGCCTCTGTCTGTCTTTTTGGCTAGGTAAATCTTCATTGAGCTAATCGAATGCACATTCAACTTGTTGGCTGTAAAATTAACACAAACACACGTTCGAGTGGATATCGTTCGGTTTGCCTTCATTTGAATAACTCGTTTTGTGGCACAGACTCACAATCGGACGGCCAGACTGGGAGCTTCTTCTTCGCAGCTTTTAAAAGTTGAAGAACTAAAAAACGTTCAGCAATTTCAAAAGTCAAACTGATATTTGACAAGCAGCACGACTAACAAATACCTAGCAGACGAAACAATTGACAGTAACTAAATGTGAAATATATATATAAATTCTCCAAGACCTCGAAGAGTCATAGAAGCTTGACTTGGCTTATCATACTGAGGTCAATACTTCGTGGTCTGCATCACCTTGGCCACTGTTTGATCTGCTTATCATACCCCATACCTGCTGCGGTCTAGGGCATATAATGAAACCGTAAAACCTGTTCGTCAACTCATGATTATGTTTTTGACTTTTATTTTGTATCTTTCACTTCGTATCTCTCGCTTAGCACTCGCGCGCACGCCTCTGTTCGCTGACCCAATAATTTAATTCTCTTTTTTTTGTTAGCTTGCCCAAAATACCATTTTGGCTAAAGGAAAGTTGGTAGCTCTGCTTTAAGCTGTTCTTCTTCTTGGTTTATTTGTTTGCCTACAGCTTGGGTCTGATACGCGCTCGATTGGCCGGAGCTCGGATTGCCACCGGCGATGTGCTCATTTTTCTGGACGCTCACTGCGAGGCGAACGAGGGCTGGTGTGAGCCACTGCTGCAGCGCATCAAGGAGTCGCGCACCAGTGTCCTGGTGCCCATTATCGATGTGATTGATGCCAAAGACTTTCAGTATAGCACCAATGGCTACAAATCCTTCCAAGTGGGTGGCTTCCAGTGGAGCGGTCATTTCGATTGGGTGAATCTGCCGGAGCGTGAGAAGGAGCGACAGCTGAGGGAGTGCAGTCAGCCCAGAGAGATTTGCCCCGCCTACAGTCCGACCATGGCGGGCGGTCTATTTGCCATGGACAGACGGTACTTCTGGGAGGTGGGCAGCTACGATGAGCAGGTGAGCCGACGAACTGCAGAGGCTGAGAATAAGTTATGGAAATATGTATTCACTTTCTTAGATGGATGGCTGGGGTGGCGAGAATCTGGAGATGTCGTTTAGAATCTGGCAGTGTGGCGGCACAATCGAGACAATACCCTGCTCCCGCGTGGGTCACATCTTCCGCGACTTCCATCCCTACAAGTTCGTATACAGTTACCACCCTAATGGATCTCAATTAACATTTACTTTCACAGATTTCCCAATGATCGTGATACGCACGGCATTAACACCGCTCGCATGGCCTTGGTCTGGATGGATGAATATATAAACGTGTTCTTTTTGAACCGGCCCGATCTGAAATTCCATCCAGACATCGGCGATGTGACGCATCGCGTTGTGCTGCGCAAGAAGCTGCGCTGCAAGAGCTTCGAGTGGTACCTGAAGAACGTGTATCCGGAGAAATTTGTGCCCAACAAGAATGTCAAGGCCTGGGGCAAAGTGAAAGCAGTCAATTCAAATTTGTGCTTAGACGATTTGCTCAACAACAACGAGAAGCCCTACAATCTGGGTCTATATTCCTGCGGCAAGGCGCTGCAAAAGTCGCAGCTCTTCTCCTACACCAACAGTCTGGTGCTGCGCAACGAGCTGAGCTGCGCGACAGTGCAGCACAGCAGCTCCCCACCGCATCGTGTTGTGATGGTGCCCTGCCTCGAGAACGACGATTACAACGAGCAATGGAAGTACGAGAATCAGAGGCTGATGCACGTCAACACAGGGCTGTGCCTCGACCACAGTGGACTGAACAGCATGGACGATGCACTGGTCGCGAAATGTGATCTGTCCAGTGACACACAGCGATGGATCATTCTACACGACTGAGCTAGCCACAAGCGCGCTTCTCGCAACCAGCGGACCAAGCCAATTCCAACAGAGAGAAACTGACTAAGCGTAGCGCCGTGCGACGCTTTTTACCTACAGACTCAACTAGAAACGCAACATGTGTAAATACAAACTATTAAAGAAAAGAAAACGCAAGGATAGAATCATATAAAATATTTTCTATATAATATATACACTATATAGAGAGCGTAAGTTGTAGTTAGTGAATATCAAAGGAAAGACGGATCGACATAAATCAAAAATAAGTCAAAATATATTAACAGATTCATTAAGTGTTGTGCGTTTGTTGTGTAAACTAAAACTAAATGAAAAAGCTAGTAAAAGTTGTATAGATATACATTATGTAAATCTCTCTATATATAATATATCTGTTTATGTGCATATTATTCCTATGTAAAGCTTGAATAATTATAATTGCTATGTGATCATCAAATGATAAATCCATCAACAACAAAATAATATTTATAATAACACTCGCATTCCGAAACAAGTCTCGAATAATCAAAATATATCTTTAACAAATAAGAAAACATAAGGGATGCAATGCAAAGAACACATAAGAGTAAAGCCCAAGCATTTATCAACTAACAAAAAAAAAAAAAAAAAACTATTTTTGCCATTTATTTTTTGAAAAAATAAAAAATATACATATGAAGAAACTGCTTCCACACATGGAAGACTTAAAACACAATAAATTACACTTTATGTTCTTCATTCCTTATTTATTATGGGAGAAGGGTATATGGGTTTGTCGAAATGTGCTTTTGTCTATAAGAACTTTTATGAGTGGAGTGGGATTGGGGAATATCTAAAAATATATATGTATGTACATGTTGACGTATTTATGCTGTTAGTTTGGGCCCACTTGAGGTGTGGCTAAAAGAAAATAACTATTATAATATTAATTCATGGAATTCTGGCTATAAACATACTCGTGTTATGTTAATGATTCTTAATACAATTTTGACACGCTCGCTAAAGACAAATATTCTTTATCGAAATAACGGCAATATATATATATATATATATATATA